GCTGATGTTATCAGTCAGATTGCACCTACTCATTTTTTATTTCTAAATTTTTCCAAAGCTATCAAAAATAACATAAATGAAAGTATGGGAATTATGTATTGACCAAAAAATATATAATTAAATGAAAAATATAATACAATAAATATTTTTTAATGCGAAACATTTTATGTTTATATAAAGAACAACTCATATTAAATGTAGGTCTTTAAATCAAAACATTTTTCATGATCATAAGTAACAAACTTAGTAAGGAACTGGAAAATCACATCTTAATTTCCCTCTCTATCACTGTTCTCTATGTTACGCATCAGTACCCATGAATCGGTTAGAGCCATTAATCTCCTGAACTTTTGCTCTAAATTGCATAAATGAGCTTTTCTTACTTCCAGACAAACATTTTAGTCTCTCAACTTCTTTCTCAAGTATGCATTATATAATTCAAGAGCGTTCATAAACTGGCGTTGAGTTTGGCTGATGTGCGCCCAGCTTGCCTATTGCTTGGCAGCATTTGCAGGAGCTCTAGTGTGAACAGCTCTGTCATTACACAAGCACATGTTGGTCAGGCCAGCTCGTGTTTATATAAAGATCAGATATGTGCAGCACCATTCCAGTCTTCTGTCCCCTCCTCTGGACACACATAGCATCACTAGGGAACAGCTGCCTCTTTCACTCACAAACACACTTAAATATACACACAGACATCCATCCATTTTTCAAACCGACTGTCCTATCGTAGGTATGCTGGAGTCTCTCCCAGCATTTCTGGCCTAGGCAGGAAAGCATCCTGACAGGATGGCCAGTCGATTGCAAACCTGTGTTATTTTTGTTAACTAAAACTAAAACTATTATAAATATTTTTTATTGAAATTAAGCTGAACAGACAAAAACGACAAAAACTGAATTACTAAAATTACTAAAATAACCAAGTAAAAAAACTATTAAAATGACACAAGCACATACAAAAACTACTAAACATTAAACAAATTAAAATGAAAATATTAATAAAAACTGTAATAGTGAATAAATAATACAAAAATAACACTGTCATAGACACACAGACATTCATATACAAATATTTTTTCCTGTAAGAAAGAAAACAATTTTTTTTCACCCACAGTGTCAAGTGTTTTTATTTTAAAAGAGTTTTTTTTATTTTTATAAAAGTGACTCTAGTAATACATATAAAAATCATGCAAAAAAAAAAAGCAATATAACGTAAGTTACACACATTTTATTGTCTTGCAGTCTGAGGTGTGGTGCTAAATAAGACAAAAAAAGTTGGGAAACACTGTCTTAGACAGCTGGCACAGCTCGATAAAAGAGCACCTGCTAGTGTTATGTGTGCCTGTCTTGTGTAACAGGTTATCCAGTGTGGGTGTCTGAGCCCATTAGAAATTACCAGCTCGCCAGTCTACAGATCACTTAAAGGGGTCATATGATGCGATTTCAAGTTTTCCTTTCTCGTAAGGGGCGTAACATTTCCGTCACACTCTTGAGGTATTCGGCCAATCACAACGCATTGGATAGCTGGCCAATCACAGCTCACCTCGCTTTTTCAGACCGATGAGCTTTGTAAAAATCGACACGTTTCAGAAAGGCGGGGCATAGAGGAGCAACAATAATGTACAGTATGTGGAAAATAATGTGTTTTTTTAACCTTAAACCGCATAAACACATTTCATTACACCAAATACACAAAATAATGTTCTTTTTAGCAACATCATATGACCCCTTTAATGTTGGTTACACACTCTTACGACAGACACAGATACCAGACACCACTGCCGAATGAGGAATGAGAAGCATGCAGAGAGAGGACACCGTTTGCAGGCCTACTAACCTGATGGCAACTTGATCTATGGTGGGACAGGATTTTTTTAGTCTCATAGATAACAGCAGGGTTGATTATAGTGAGGTAGGTTTACACTATAAGCAAAGTTGGACGCCTTGTAATATCACAGAATGAGTTTGAAAAGTTTCAAGAGGATAGAGAATCATGTGAAGCTTTTCCTTTTTTATTTTTTCCCCTGCTTATCACAACCATGCAGCAACACATAGCAAGTGATGTAGTCAGTCATGAAATTAGTCCCCCTTCCCATGAAATTCAAACACATTTGGTCACACGAGACACATTTAAGATGCATTTACAACCAGATGTAAATGGTGATGTGTGGTCAACTGTGATTGGATCACATAAAATCCTTGTGCTTGATTGTATTGAATGTGCGCTTGTTCTTCAAATCTAAAAAAAAGGGTATTTAAAAAAAAAAGTACTTGCGGATAATATAAGATTAATAAAATAAAAAGCCACTTAAGTGTACTTAAAGAGAGACACTTTTTTTACTGTTTCTTAACACAATTAAGTATACTTTTAAAAATATATATTTTTAATAGTGCTGTCAAATGATTAATCACGATTAATCGCATACAAAATAAAAGCTTTTGTTTGCATAATATATGTGTTCTGTGTATATTTATTATGTATATATAAACACACACACATACAGTAGCCTATATAATTTGAAAATATTTACACGTATTTACATGTCTATATTTATATTCATATAATTGATATTATATATAAATATATTTAAAGGGGTCATATGATGAGATTTCAAGTTTTCCTTTCTCTTTGGAGTGTTACAAGCTGATTGTGCATAGATAAGATCCCTGAAGTTGCAAAGACTAAAGTCTCAAAACCAAAGAGATATTCTTTATCAAAGTTAAGACTCTGCCACGCCCCCCTAAAACGCCTCGTTCTAACACACCCCACATATCTACCTCACCGTGTGCTCTTCCGATCTTCAAATGATTAATCACGATTAATCGCATACAAAATAAAAGCTTTTGTTTGCATAATATATGTGTTCTGTGTATATTTATTATGTATATATAAACACACACACATACAGTAGCCTATATAATTTGAAAATATTTACACGTATTTACATGTCTATATTTATATTCATATAATTGATATTATATATAAATATATTTAAAGGGGTCATATGATGAGATTTCAAGTTTTCCTTTCTCTTTGGAGTGTTACAAGCTGATTGTGCATAGATAAGATCCCTGAAGTTGCAAAGACTAAAGTCTCAAAACCAAAGAGATATTCTTTATCAAAGTTAAGACTCTGCCACGCCCCCCTAAAACGGCTCGTTCTAACACACCCCACATATCTACCTCACTATGTGAAAATATTTGCATAATGCCGCCCAAATGAGCACGCAAAGAAAGAAGGCGTGGTTTCAAGTAACCGCAGTTAGTGTTGAAGCAACATGTCAGGGAGACGCTGTGTTTCTAGGCAAAAGCAAAATCACTTTATTTGGCCTTCCGGAAGTAGATGCATTTAGGAATCTTTAAGATTACTTAAAACAGAACAGCAATGCATTTTATGGACGACCGTTTCGTGAACCTAGGAGAGGAGGTAATTCTGACTTTGCTATGACAATCTGGCGCTTCTGAATCAGCTACAGTTTTGTTATTAGTTTAAGTATTTGCTATTGACTGTTCAAATGCAGAGTTTTGCGCATCATGTGTGTGTGTGTGTGACCGCTAATGTCATTTACCTGTTGCGTTGCCCCTGTGGTTTATGTTATATTGGTAAGACTAGCAGACCTCTAAAAACTCGCATCTCTGAACATCGATGTGCAATTAGACATCGCGATCCAAAAAGTCCGGTAGCACAGCACTTTGCAGATTCAAGACACTCAGTTTCCACTCTTCAGTACATAGGTATTGAAGTAGTGAAGTGTCCGCGTCGCGGAGGTGATATCAATAAATTGCTTTTACAGCGCGAAGCCTTTTGGATTTATACACTAGATACGTTGTCCCCTAGAGGATTAAATGAGGACTTTGATATTCGTCCATTTCTTTAAACACAAGATATCTATTTACATATAATAAACGCTTGGTGGTTATTGATTTGTATTTATGTACCTAGGCAGGCATCAATTAATGTTATTAAACAATATATTGATAATTATATTCGTGTATTTTGCATAGCTTTATATGTTTTTGATTTATTTTTTTGTTTCCATGTTTTTCTCCTTGGTTGATATGTTATTGTTTTGGTATTATTATTATCATGATAATATGGTACGGTCATGTGACCTTTGATCACCTGGAGGTAGGCCTATAAAGAGTGGGATATCAGTGTTGTTCATTTGTCTGATGAAGAGCCTGCGTGCTCGAAACGTCACACATGCTATGCGACATATATACATTTTTGATACTTTTGGAGCTTTGGTGTTGCCGACTTTACATCAAAAAA